GCCATAAGCGGCGAACTCTTGAAGACGACCGTTAACGATTATTACGATGCATTAACGCGACATAAAAATTACGTTGAGCCTTCATATCGCGACTATTCCAAGTTCGAAATCGACAGAAAGTGCATGCTGCGGATGAAAAGCAAGCCGGGATCGATCTCATGAATGCCCGCCTGAGAAAACTGCTTGCTCTGTCAACTCTGGCCGGAAAATTCAGCGTCAACTTCGTCCGCGACGAATTAAACATGCGAGATTACGACGGCGCCGCCTGACCCAAACTTCCAGTTGAAGATCTGCGAACCGTAAGCACCGAGCTCAAGACAAGACGTCTCGCAACGCGCACAAGAAGCGTCGGACAGACTCGAAGAAATATTGTCCACTGGGACAAACCCTTACCTGATTTGGAATTTCCCATCAGGGAACTTAAAGGTCTCCGCGCCGCCCTGAAAACCATGCGTGGATCGCCTGTGGACAACCTGGCAAAAGTGAATGCAATTGACGACCACATAGCTCGCGAAAACAGAAAACTCAACGAGGCGGCGGCGCAGGATGACAAATTCAGCCGACAGAATACGTGACCTGAAAGATGAAAGATCGGCTTGATTGGAAGCTGCTTCCCAGAACAGAGAAGCGCTCCGATTACAAATCAGTTGAGTGCGAGAAACCATCGACCGAGTCTTGAACGAAGACACCATGTTAGCCGACAGGATCCGAACGTTGTTCCAGTAACAAAGAATCACCATCACCAGCGTTCTGACGGCATTCAGCTTCATCATATCGACTTTAGTCTCTCACTGACTGGCGGCGGCGGCAGTAGCAGTAGCACGACACCATCACCCGGTGGCGACAGCGACGTGAAAGACTGGATAAAAAACCATTTGAAATCTCACAGGGAAGTGCTGCTGAAATAAGCCGGCAAAGCCGCCGAAGCGTTGCCTGGCATTTTAGGCAGCATCGTCTCGTGGCTGCTTAGTACGCTGACTGCTGACGAAAACGGCCAAGTGGCTTGGTCAAAACTTGTGGGCATTCGTCGTCACCGTCACAGGTCTGGTGTACATCGCTGCTGAGGAATTTTTAACCAAATAAGACAGAGTCTGACCACGATTCCATCAACCACGAGCACTGTTTTACGATCGATGTGTTGCTGATTTCCGACCACCACCGCGCCTGACGATAGGTTGTTGTTCGATGATGTAGGTGCAGGTTGAACGCTTGTCACTATTCCTATATCACCGGTGTGAATCGGCGGTGGAGCGACATGATTGACGCTGACGTCTTGATTAACGCCTAGTTTCATATTGCAATCACGATTTCATTATTGTATCCTACCACTTTATTAATCCTCACTTGCATGTCGCTCAGAGCCATGTACAACCCTTGACTGACTGACTGAGTTTGGTTTTACGCCGCTTTCAGCAATATTCCAGCAACATCACGGCAGGGGACACCAGAAATGGGCTTCACACATTGTACCCATGTGGGGATTCGAACCCAGATCTTCGGCGTGACAAGCCAACGCTTTAACCACTAGGCTACCCCGCCGCCCCCACAACCCTTGACCAAATACATAGTTGACTTTAGACCGGGCATTCTCCAGTACATTTTAGTATCTCCTGATGGCTGTTGGTAAATCTACCGGAGATGCGATGGCATCATCAATGCCCGGCACGAATTGTTTCTGCGCGTTGTAAGCCGTTCCCTTACCGATGATGCCTGAAAGCGTTTGTGCTTGTGCACTAAGAATCGCCCACACATACGTTCAATCGTTCAATCTGAATACACAGCAGCGAGCCAGTTCAACTGCTGCACTAACACGTCGGATCGACTTGAGGTCGCACTCTGCTGCGATATCATGTACCATCCACGATGGACTAACATCGACGACAACAAAAAACTCTTCGTCAAAAGGCAGCGACACGTCCTGACCCACGGTTACTACAGCGTGTGCTCGCTCAATGACGAAATCTTCAAACCCCTAGGAGCCGAACTCAAACTAAACGATCAATCGTGCTATTGAACAATGGGAAAGACAACTTGAGACTCGGACGACCTCTGGCCAGAACGCTCGGGTTGAAGTCGAATGATATAACACCGCAAACCACCGTGACAGGCTCAAAACTACCCGACCTAGTTCCCTATCGCGAACTGTGCATTCATCTTGATCAGATAAGCACGACCGATAACATTCAAGGCGAACGGCCTTTGACCCTGCTCAGGAAGTCATTTCACGTCGGCTGCAACGTAAAGCGCTGAAGCACGACAAGATCAGGGTTCTAGCTGAAGCCAAGCTGAACACGATCAAAGATCACATATCAGCAGCGCTCACCGATAGCAAGATCACGGAGGAAGAGTTTCGTCTGGTGTTAGCAGAACTCGCAAAATACCACAGAATGAAACAAGACATTCGAACTAAGGTCCACAAGACGAATGACATCGATGAACAGGAGAAAATAAAGCTCATAGAACAGGGCAGACAACAAGCCCGGCAAGCATTCCTTTCCAAAACCAAAGAAATCATAGGAGATTCACGCTAAATTGTTTCATCGATATTAATTTTGATCCAAAAGAAAATTTGTTGCTTTTATGGTATTCGGTAAAACCGTTAAAGTGGTCGGATACCAAGTTATGGTTTTTCCACCTTTCAGGAAAGTTTGGGCTGGTTCTACGCTAATTCTAAAACCGATGTCGTGAACGGTTGCTAAAAAGCTAATTTGTATTTGTGTTTCCACATAGTGTGAGTTCTCTATTAACGCAAGCTCAAGTTTTGGGTTTGCTCAAACAACAGTTCCGTTTTTTGAGCACGACTCTGCTAGATCTTTCTCCTTCCCGCTTACTCCAACCTATAATCTTTGCCGTTTTCCTGCTAAGACCGATATGTTTTCAGTACGCCTCCTTTGCAGAAAATAGTCCGCTCTTCCAAGTGAATCCATCGCTAAATCCTGGTATCTCAATTTCTCTTGCTTGTTCATTTTCTTTATACTTCCAACAACATCCTAGCTCTAATACATTTTTCACTTATACTTTTACAGACATTGAATGATGGTCCACCATCAATCCAACCATATTATTACTCCCACTGGGACAATAAATCGTAAAAATATGACTTAAAGGGACCTGGTCCGAAACCGCTATTCCCTATACTACTGATACTGTGTAAGTTTCTACCGTGCAAAATACTGACCTTCACAATATCTTCATGCTTTAAGTCTTGTATGTATTATTTGTTTGAGTGGCATTCTAGAAGTTGGTGGTGTAGAGATGACAAAACTTTATGGATGATCAACTTCAATGTTTTCACAAATGCAATGTTTCGGTATAGGTTCCCACACTGTTTTCAAGCATACAGTTTTGTCGTCTCTTGTACGCATTAATCAACAACAAAAACATATGTCAGTTTGGCTGTGCCTCTTTATTGTATATCCTTGGTCATGAGACAGCTTCTCATTCTTCGATCCTCTGATAGCTGTTACCTTTAGCGAGATTAGCGCGCTGGACAGAAGTAAAACCTGTCAAAATTGTAGTCCAAAAAAGGCAAATTTGTTTTCAATCCATATTTTGACACTTTGCATTTTTCTTTTCCTTTAAAATGTTCTGAAGGGAAACTATGCGCCTTTTTAGGTTACAAGTACCATATCTAACTTTGATTAAAAACAATTTTATATTATGAAGAATATTTTACACATAACTGCACTGGAATAAAGCAAATATGGTTCATAACAAAATGACATTCCACCATAATACTCTTTGCATTTTCATTCATCTAATTTCTATAATATTTTTCAAAACACTTCCATGACCCCCCAAAAATATCAATTGGTCAGTCCCTGTGGTATGTACACACAAAATACATGTAAGTTCAGCTTCCAAATCAACCAAAAATATGCCTGAAAGATCACTCTTCAGTGAAAGCATTCCGTGTGCTCAGAACCATGTTCAGAACACATACCCACCACCCTGTTGTGCCTACTTCTTTATTCAATCTTTGCAGATGCACATCTGGTGGAACATTACTGTAGCAGTAAGTTTATATACTGAGGGAAAGAAAATAAGGTATCACATGAAAGCACAAGTGTTCCTTTATTTTTTTCCAGGTTTCTTCACAAGCTTTGTATCGTATAGCTTGTGAACAAACCTGGAAACAAATTCATAAAGGAACACTTGTGCATTCATGTGAACCCTTATTTTTTTCCTTCAGTATATATACACCAGTGCATTAACTAAGCACCACCCTATTTTGAAAATAAGATGTGATGCTTCAGAAAAGTCAGGGTATAGCCATCAATTTAATCAACCTATAGTTAAAGAAGCTTTATCCATTGACAGTTTTACAAATACCATAACCATTTCTATAGTTTATGAAAGAATATGTTGATGAAAATGTGATGGGACTGAATTTTTACCCAAATAACTATTCCTCTCCTGCTCAAACTACACAATTAAATTACGTTTTGACTAAAAATAACAATTCTGTTATATACCAAGATGACATTTACAAATCAAGTAAACTTTAATTATGCATAATCAGTAAGAACACGGATGTCAAAGATTCAGACCTTTTTCCAACAATTCAGATTGCTAATTGACAAAAACTGAAAAAGGCCACATTAATAAGATTTTGGAATAAATCTTTTATGATTTTGAGTTTATTGTATTATATCATATATATAAATAAACACTGATAATTACAGCTAAAATCTGTTTGTTTTGTTTGTAAAGCAACTTTTTACTGCATTTTATAATTTTCCTTTTTTTTAGTTTGACTGTTACTTTTCCTAAATCTTAGTTTACAAACTTTTATCCATTCACAATAAATAACGAATTTATAGGCCTCATAACAATCAATTATTACTTTCACTTTTCAAAATAAGGTAACTTGTTTTAGGACAGAAAAACACCGGTTTTAAATATAGGCAATTATCCTAATTCAAGTACATGATAATTTCAATGATGTTTTCGTTTTTGAAATGTTAAATGCTTGCTCTATCAAATTATAAAGGTTATTCTTTGGAAAAAGTTTAGAATTTCATTTCAGACAAAGTTGATTGGTAAAAATACAGGGTGTTGCTTATTTTATGCACGGGTGTAAACGATAGCTTTCTGAATGAAACATTATAGACAGTTTTGGGTTCTTATGAACTGCAATTCACTTTACATTTGACATCTTAAGTTACATTCCAAATTATACTACAAACAAAAAGTAGGGGAACACCCTAAAATTTGATAGTCATATATAAACTTAAACGTGGTGAGGTGATTTATACTCTAAGGTACACTTAGACAACTTTTTATGTGCTTAATGGACACTTTAAACGACATGTTAGAACATGCAGTGACGCAACTGAATCAATATTTGTTGAGTTTGAGTGAAATGAAACATTGTCAAAACAGCAAAAAACATGGGTGTTGAAACACACCAGCACCATGTTTGATTCAAACGCCCAAACACAACAGCCTAGTGCATGTGGAAGACAGACGTCCTATGGAGCTTGTGGCAACTAGGCAATGGCAGGTGTGAATCGGTTCTGAAGGGACATATGGCCATATTCCAGCCATATGTCATTGATCTGTAAATAATCGAGTCTGGACCAGACAATCCAGTGATCAACAGCATCCACATCGATCTGCGTAATTGGGAACCGATGACATGTGTCAACCAAGTCAGCGAGCCTGACCACCTGATCCCGTTAGTCACCTCTTACGACAAGCATGGGTTACTGCAGATCAATATTCTAACCCGGACCTTCATGGGTACACTGGCCTTGAACCTGTCCTTCAGTCTGTGAAGGACAGAGGGAGACGCCTTAAGACGGCGAGCAACACTTCTTCCGGATTGAATCAAACATGGTGCTGGTGTGTTTCAACACTCATGTTTTTCACTGTTTTTGACAATGTTTCATTTCCCTCGTGAGAGAGAGTACAATACACAAGATAGGATAGGTTTGAAAATGTTAATTGTTGTAGATAAGGACATGTTGAACAAGAAAAAATATTTAACAATGTCAAGGTGAGCAACATGTGAGTTATATAAATGTCACAAATGAGTTTCACATTATGGCTACCACTGCAGCCATTTTGTAAAGTGGGATTTGAAGCCTTTGAACAAATTAAGTTGTTACTGAAGGCAACAAGCAGGGACAGTTTCAATGATATTGGTCCTGCAGGGAAGATATCTTGGGATTGAATACAATCACATTTATTGAAGTTACTGGCTGAAGAAAATATGATCAGTCACCTCTAACAGGTCTTGATAACTTTTAAATCACATATCTGTATTATGAACATGCATTTGGTCTAGTTCATGTTTAGCTGAGAAATGAAAGAGTTGACTGTCAATGTCACAGTTATTTGAAGTCAATTAAAAATGATCAGTGGGAACTCCTACGCAGGTGAGTTAATATTCCTTGCTTTTTGTGATAACATCAGTTGCAACATTTCAGTAAATAACAGCAGTCCTTTTACAATACAATATAGTACAAATTCAGTGTGTAAATGCTTGTGAGATACAAACGAAAATTGGTTTCCAAATTAAAAGACATTGACAATAGAATGAAATTAGATAAAACAAATTGAAAAAAACAACATGTAATCCATCAAAATGACAGGCTCCATCTTTTCTGCGAGCTAAAAGGCGTTTCTGATCATCGGTTTGACTGAGTGGTGTTCCATGGCTGTAGTATTCTTCCATCATTATTTCCTTCTCAGCAAACCTCTTGAAAAGCCACTGTTTCATCCCCTCTTCATCTCTGGGTACATCTGAGACAGGGTAAGCTCTAAAATGGAGGAGCACATCACAGGCTGACCATGATCCTGCCCCTATGTTCACCAGAGTCAGTGGGTTATCCTTAGGATAAACTATGGTTACATCAATAATCCACTGTAACAGGGAGCCATGGAACATATCTTCATCTGTTAGGGGAAAGCAGAAACATGCCATGAAATAATCTTCTCTTAGATGAGCATAGTGAAATGTATCAAATTGCATAAACATGTCATGATTGGGAACTTCAAAGCAATATGAAAATCTTAGTTACATAATTTTGGGTTAGTGGAAACATTTGCCCAATGCCAAAGTTCTGTGCATTAAACTACCTCAATAAGACAGTGATATATATTCATCCCTCACAACAACGCGGATTCTGTTAAACCACGGGGTAGTCTGTGTCTCCCATTAAAAAAGTTGCCCAGCGATCAGACATCTTCACATCATCGAACATACAAATCTGCTGTTGAAAACTAGCGAAATTCAATGAACAGTGTTCAACGTACATATCCGCGTTTTTCAGATGTTTAAAAACATTCAGTTTTTTTGGAATAATCAGATGAACAGCGGAACGTCGTAATAACTTATAAAAGACAACTTTATTATAAAGACATGCCATCAGCCAAGTACTTACGATGTTTGCTGTGATGCAATACACCACGTTATTGACATTTAGCGTTGTTTCGCTAAATGGGTTTATGGGCAGCATTTACAATTCAGCGCATAACTTTAAACTATAGCACTTGCCTTCGCTTATAGTATCCATCCAGCGTAGCAGGTCAGGAGGCGGTGTATTATGTCAGCATTATGACATTTAGCAGTATTTTGCTAAATGGGTTCGTAGGCAATATTTACAATCCTTGTGCACAACTTTAAGCTCTAACACTTGCTTTCGCTTATGGTAAGCACCCGGCATAGCAACGCACATGGCAGTGTTTTTCTTCCGCATCCCATAATAGCAGCTACGTCACTTCCGGAGTGACGTCACATCCGCAGGCATACGTCATATCCTTCCTTTCTATCCTTCATGCTCTCCGGTCTAGTTCACTTACATATTGCCTCTGCTAAATAATTCTCTCTAATCGCGTTGTGTTCTCAACTTACTTCCAAATTCTCCAGTAATACCAGTAATTGCGTTCGCTTTCAACTGGCTTCTTTCCTGTGGACCGCCTCCGTGGTGTAGTGGTTAGAGCGTCTGCCCGGAGAGCGGAAGGTCGCGGGTTCGATCCCCGACCGCATCATACCAAAAGACGTTAAAATATGGTACTTGTTGGTCCCTGCCTGGCGCTCGGCATTAATGGGTACAACAAGGACTGGTCGGCTCGGAGTCAGTATAATGTGTCTGGGTGGGGTATTCATGCTTCACTGCGGCGTGGTATCTCAGTGGGCTAGCACTATAAAACCAGCTCAAGTCTGGGCTAGTACAAGCAGCCGCACATACACATACACACGCATGCACGTTGTCATATGAGCGAAATATTCTCAGGCACGACGTTAAACCCAATTTCACCTCACCTCACCTTCTTTCCTGTCTTCTTTTCATTCATCTAATTGACTATATTTAGTTGTAGCTCTACACCACGTGCTAGCAGGAGCACTCACCACCATGCCTCCAAAGCGCAGAGCAGCAGCCAACCACTCCGTAGTAAAGGGATGTGCAAAAGCGGCGAAACGACAGGCAAAGGGGGTACGTGCGACTGGTCCTTTTCCCATGAGCACTGCCCCCCAGGCCTGTCAGGCCCCACAACCGGAGGCATCCCCTGCAGCAACCAACACCACACCTTCGCTGGAGCCAACATTTGCCACCCCGCTGGCTCCGTCAGTCAACTCACAAGGTATGTCACCCTTTGACCATGTTAATATATTGCCCGGATTATTGATTCCTCGTGGTTATCAGGCACCGGCTGAGTTGCAGCAATCTCAAGTAACTCCCTCCACGCCTCAGACGGGGTGTTACAGTCAACCCCTCACAAACAATACACTTGTGAATGCGGACATGCTGCCACATCAGCAGCTTAGCTTTAGGGCGGAGACCATTAGTTTCCACCTAAGACAGGCGGTAAGGGAAAAAATACACCGGGGGGAGTTTGTTGACATGAAATCTCTCTTGCCAGCGGAAAACCAAGCAACACAGGAGAGTCAGAATTTCATGATGGAGCTTGACCCTTCAGGCCAGGTAACATTTGGACCCAGGCAGCAGTCCACTTGTCAATTAAACATTGGGTATTGGACGTCTGCATTTTTTACCTACATCAGTGTAGTCATTGAGCATCAAATGGATGTAAATTTTATCCAACAAATGTTGTCATATATGGAGATGATCCGTGGTGCTGCCGCTAGGTTTGGCGGTGACTGCTGGTCTCAATATGACATACAGTTTCGGCAGAAAATGGAGAGAGATCCATCACATTCTTGGGGTGCAATCGACGGACAGCTGTGGCTGCAGCTAATGCTTCCCAGCAATAAACAGCAGACGCACACACCTTCTGCCAGATATCCCAGCTACCCTCAACAGCGTGCGCATACCGAGGTATGTAGGAATTTCAATCGTGGCGTGTGTGATCGGGGACTAGCATGTCATTATGCACACAAATGCTCGGCATGCAACATAGGCGGCCATGGGGCATCATCCTGTTTTTGTGCCAAAAAGCACAACACAGTCCCCGTACAAAGCCCCAAGCTTTATAATTGCCAACATTGTGTTTTTACAATCAGTGGCATGTATCGCGGGAAGTCAACGGTGACTTGTCAAACTGTTCCATACGTAAAATGTATCCACCCACGTAATCAAATGCGCTGAGCCTATGTTAATTATTATGTTAAATATGTTCGTCAAAAACATGCATTAAACAATTACGATAGCAATATATATTACCTCTGTTAAAACAACTGCTTAAAATACAAAATATTTTGATAATGGAATAGAAATTCTTTGATGCTATATTTTCAGGCCCCGGGGTGATGAAAGTGACTTAAGTTTAAAAATTGCTTAAATCTGTCATTTTGATCTAAGTTAAAAAACATGTCTTAAATCGGGGATCATGTACATTTTTTAGTCTTAAAAGTTAAGACTGAGATCATTTTTTGTTTTAAATCCTGAGACTGATACCTACCAGTCTTAAGCCCTTTTTGATGCCGAGTTTTTTCTCAGGCACACATTTTCATAAGGTTTGAAAAGTGAACGTTGTGCGAGATTTGCGCTCGTGTGGTCCTAGATCGGCGTACGGCTATAAAATTACACAGAAATGTAGAATTTCCTATCCGTTGGTATAAATATAAATGCAAATACCTTGGTGGTTTGAGAAATAGACACTGCTAAATGATGTCCAAAATTTTGTTATGCGTTAAAAAACAGTAAATTTCTCCGCTTTTGATCGTATACCGATAAGAGCACTGTGCTACGATTTTTTACTTTGGCATTTTTTCGGAAAGTGTGAGCAAAGAAAATGCAGCCTGATATCTGAATGACATAAGTATATAAGAAATGGGTTTTTTTGCTTGTGCATAACGTTATACGCTCAACATTAAAATGACTAACAATAAATGTTGAAAATGGATTTTCTTGTATGATGTCAAACGACGACAGAGAGGTCATGCATGTATAAAAGTAAGAGGCATAACTCCGCTGTGCTTAACACTTGGTCAATGTAACTCTCATCACTTGGAGAAAATTTGTTGTGGATACGGACGCTATATTTTTGTTATGTTTTGTTCACCGTGAACCAAACTATTCCAGTACAAAGTTCCCCAATATGAGCGGATACGTTTTGGTTGTTTCACAATTTATAAGAAAAGAAGATGACAATGTACTACATGAGAAAGCATGTAAAAGCGATTTGGATGGCCCTATCCGATATGTATATATTAGTTCTTAGATTCACATATTCTCCTGTTTGTGTACATATATTTTGACTAATTTTGCATTATTATTAACCGAGTACTAGCCATATCTTCAAATGTAATGAAATTACTGAAAAGATTACAACATTGTAGTTGACGTCATTGCTCGTTTTATGTATTTTGCGACATCGGAAAAAGACGACATTGGTATGCTGATTAGTATATATCTCACCATGAATTGTATAAAAGGTTTTCGGTTTCTATGTCAGAATTTAACACTATTTCGACAGAACTTAAAATGACTTATTTTACCATTTCAATAATGTCCTGAATAGATCCATAATTAGACGGTTTGACTGTGTATCTTAATATGAACAAAACGTGCACCTGTTTGGCATCAACTTAACGTAAATTGAAAAGGATATTTCACAACACCTGAATATATATTTTAGGATAAGAATTTTCTTTGTTTATGACTTTGTGGCTATTTCTCTTCATAAGTATGCAATGAAATTGTTTATAAAGATGTAAAAACATAGCTCTTTTTGTATGGAGCTATCAGAATAATGATGTAAGGTTTGGCAAATGTAAGACATGACACGGTCTATGTTTTGTTTATAATTTTCGTAGAAATATAGCTACGTTTGTTCTTCTAATACTTGTTTAAGGGTTTAAAACATGGAGTACTACACACAGTATGTCAATTTCTTGTGTAAATATTATTCAAACAAACAAAAACCTTCAAAGAATAAAAACAACTTATACCCTATAACCACGGATATGATATAGAACAAGGCTAGATGTAGACAATGAAATTATTTTCATGAAAAAAATATCTGAACGATACACAAAATATACATTACAACACTGAAAGTGTAATCGGTAATCAATCGACCTTCACCTCAAAGAAATTGCCAAATATGTAACAACAATGTTAACGTATATGACATCACTACCGTTGATCGATTTCTTACAAAATGGCGGTTTTGCTGACATGGGTACACAAGATTTTGCGAGGACCTTTTCCTTGATTTGGGGATCGTTTGTACTTAAATGTGTGATGCAAGTTATCAGAATGAATCTGACTATCTGTGTATTGTTATATGTTTTATCGTTTTTATTGTAAGTTAGAGAAGAAGCCAGATATGCTGATCATTACCGTTATTGTTCTGCAAGATTTTGTCAGTCATGGCGTCACGCTGCACAGAAACTGACAATTTCGTATAAACACATATCATATTATTTTTAATTTGCTATTTCTTGCTATGATACTATTTCCATGTATGTTCTAAAAGTATTGAGCCTATGCATGCTATGAATAGACGTCTGAAATTTGAGAAAATGCTTCACAGTGTAAAGTTTCAATTTTTCTTTGTTTACATTTCAACAAGTGCTGTCTTTCGAGCACAGCGTTCGTTTTCATGCCCAATATCTTTCGTTTCATATCACATAGACACTTGGTTTTAGTGATAAAGACCATTTCTTATTTGATGCTAAAATGTATGAGGAATTCAGTGATGCATTTGTCGCAGCTGAATATGAAATATATGTAATGTAATAGGCGTCTCAATACCGGCCTTCGTGAAACGTAATTTTGTAAACACTATCCAATGCAATATGGCAGAAAGCGCACTCAGGTGTTCTGTTGGTGTATTTCTGAAAACAGCCCAACCGTAAAGACACTAAAATTCACCGCGGCAGGGATAAAAGCATCAGTTGACTTAATTGTTTGGAACATTTTCAGCAGGTGTCTGATACTAAACTATTCTCCTTAATTAATTAAGAGTGACCGGACATGACTACATCATTCTAAAATTGCCATAGTAACTGTCTTAGTCTTAGCTAAGATTTTGCTGAGAGAGTTTCATGATCCAGTCTTATCTAAAATCTTAGCTAAGCAAAGTTTTTTAGACTTCAGATTTTTTTGTGCTAAGCAAATTTTAGACATAAGATTTTTTCATGATCCCGGGGCCAGATTGTTTTTAACTGAATCACCAGTACATTGGACCAAAACATGTGTACACAGCTGATTGCTATTTCCGGCTTAGTTGAATAACAGGTAGCATAACAGGAACAACAATTGAATTATCATGTCTAGTGATTTTTGACTGCAAGTTTGCTGTACATATAATTTTCATTTATAAATTTTTTTTCACCTCCGATAATGTAGTTTTGACTGAGGACAATATATATGAAATAGCAGTTCTGTTTTGTCCATGGAAAATATGATTTTAATTAGCTTTTATTCTGTGTTATGTGTAAGTTACTATAACGCGGGTGTCTCACAACGCAGGGGGTCATCCAAGGGCCCCAAGACCCGCGTTATGGCGAGGGATGACTGTATATACACTTCCCATTCGAACTAATTCTGGTAAGGAAACATGCCGAACTGATGCTTTGTATGACCCATATACCCTCCATAACAAGTTACTGGATAAGTGTTTGTATTATATGCAAACACAGAACATAAAGTGTAAAATACCTTGGCCTTCCATCACAGCCTGGAGCTGACCGATTATTTCAAGCCAAAAGCATCTGTGGTGTTACATTGGAATCCTCCCCAAGTCTTTTCTCATGCTGATTTAACACTCTGTGACTTTGACGTTCTAGTCACACAGGTATATTTCCTTTTGTTATGAAGAAATTTTAAAGTTACCTTTGACACAACCATAGAAAAGTATTCTCACATTGCCTGCCTGTCATGGTAGCATAATCCTACCACAGGTGTTACAAGCTTGGAGTTGAGTCAACATAAGGGCAAAAAAGATTTCTCAGTGTTTGACTTTACTTTGAGTGAGTGAGTGAGTGAGTGAGTGAGTTTGATTTTATGCCACCTTTAGCAATATTCCAGCAATATCATGGTGAGGGACACCAGAAATGGGCTTCACACATTCTACCCATGTGGGAAATCGAACCCGGGTCTTCAGCTTGACGAGCGAACACTTTAAACCACTAGGCTATCCCACGGCCCCGACTTTACTTTGAGTCATGGGTAGAAATAATAGTTTCAAATATCTAAACAACCATTTAACTTCTGTGCAATGCATCAACCATTAAACAGGCCAATGTAATCTAAATACCATAAAAAGTATGTTTACATTACACAATTGCACTCATGTAAAACAGTATGACATGGCAAATGTATGACACCTCGCATTTACCTTGAAAATGTTTAACTCACCTGACTGAAAGCCAAGTGGACTGGTATCACGGCATGTTGTGTGTCGTGCTTCAGTCATCAACTTCTGCATTTTTGACATCTCCTCTGAAATGACAAGGCCTTTGGAGCTGAAACTGTTGATGAACAACCCATACTCAGAAGTGCTGAAGAAGTGTTCACGTAAGTCTAATCCCACTTTAAACATGGCAGACAAGGTGACAATATTGAAAATGTCGTTTCTGCTCACTTACTCAGTCATGTTAGCATGTCACTCTCTGAAATTAATTATCATAAAATGCTTTTTGGAATATTAAATTTTAGAACTTTTGTTCCAACAAGGACATTTGCCTTTCTGAACCACCATTATGTCATGTGTGACAGTTATGAGAATGCATCTTAAACAAATTGAACAGAAATTTGTAATATAGTACAGTGAACATGTAGCTTTCTATCTCTGGCAATATTTTAAATTTTGACAGCATAACAGTTTGTCACCAAAGTGAAAATGCTGACATGAGAAAAAAATCAAAGAAGGTTATGAAATCAGAATATCATCTTCATGAAATTATCTGAATATTAAAATAGCCAGAATGTTGGGTTTCCACATGTGGTTGCCGTGGAAACACCACTGAGAGAGGCTGTTGGCAGGGTGATCCAGGCAAAACAAAAGGGGGTTTCAAGAAAGACCAAAATTAAAGATTTCAATACAGCATATTTTTAAAACTTATCCTATCTCATGTATTGTACTCTCTCTCTTATGTCAACCATGAAGTGGAAACCATGCTGCTAAGCAAAATTGAACAAAGTTTCTGGCCTCCCCGGAGTCATTTGCCCAAACCCTGCCCTGCTAATGTTTTCAGACAGTTCAGTGCCTTGCTAAAAGTATGCAGCATGACTTCCGGTTGACCATGTGACTTCCCTATCTTGTCATTCTCATCTTGGAGCAACATGACAGTAGAGATCTGCGAATTGGATGAAACTTATCCTATCTCAAGTATTGTCCTTATCCCACAGTTGGATGGTGGGTCACAGATTCCCCAAAGTCAAGTAGATGACAACTGTGATGACGTGATGACGCACAAGGAGGCCTTTACGAGAGCTATCTCCTGATCGGCCGCTGAACTTGGACTTGTGCTGGGTTGTTTCCTCCAAACCCCATAGCTTACACAGCACAAAAACTCCCAGGGAGTGGGCATTCCCAAGTTAATGTGGTTTTCAGCCGCAACCTTTGTTCAAAACAGATGGGGGCGCTGGGGTAGCCTAGTGGTTAAAGTGTTCGCTCATCATGCCGAAGACCCCGGGTTCAATTCCCCACATTGGTACAATGTGTGAAGCCCATTTCTGGTGTCCCCTGCAGTGATATTGCTGGAATATTGCTAAAAGCAGTGTAAAACTAAACTCACTCACTCAAGACAAAGGGACAGAGATTGGCAAGTACACCTCGCATCATTTCGATTTACCAGAATAGCCCCCATTGGCTAAAGTTCTAGAAACTTTGACGACCCAGCCAGCCTCTGCTTGGATACCACTCCCCACAGTCTCCAACTGGGAAAAGGGAACGCTCAACGTACGCTCAACGAGTTTAATGTTCAGTTCTCGGGAACATTGAGTACCCCTGGGTTGTCTGAGTAGGCATACTCCAAATGTCTCCATGAACCTAGGAGCGGAACGCTTCGAAAACCCATAGAAATTTGGTATTCACACTTCACCGACGTAATTGCTCAACAAGTAGAGGTCAGTAAGCGTGAGTGTCGAGAACCTGTGTGTTGGGAGTACAAGACTGATTTGCAGTCTATGACGAAGTCAAGAGAATTGACTGTACTCCAACACTCTGGTCGGCAACCAGAGAGGTGTCTCTAAAGCCCAACTTCACATTAAGATGAATAGCGCTGTATACATCTTTGAATACTTGGTTACAGGGTAAAAGATCGTGAACGGATGGGTGTTGATAATTGCTGCCCCAGCACTAGAGGGCCGAATTGGTGAAGTCCCTCCATGTCTGTGACGGACAGGTCACGTAGGTAGTTGGATACGAACACTGTCTCAGACCTCTACAAGCAGCCTTCCATAATCGATGGTAGAGAGCAGTTTTTTTAGGGGCAGACGGACTGTGTCCAACAAATCTTCAGCTGAATCAATCAATGGATGAGTGAATGAGTATGGTTGAATGCTGCTTTCAGCAATATTCCAGGAACATCACAACGGAGCACACCAGAAATTGGCTTCACACATTGTTGGGAATAGAACCCGGGTCTTCTGTGTGACAAGCAAACTCTTTAACCACTAGGCTACCCCACCATCCTCAATGCATGAATGATGACCTTGATCACTCGGAGTATAATTAGTTTAAACAAAAAAGTGTTAGTAGCTAATATTCGATTAATTATTCTATACTGAAACCAGCGAAGTTTTACTTCCTGAGTTGTACTCTTGAACACACTTCACTCCAAACCAGTTTTGGAAACTGAAGTTCCCACTTTTCCTGACCTTTAGTTTTAATATGAGAAGATATAAAGGAAAAATAAACATGTTTAGAACCTTTCTCAACACTACATATTATTTTCAAAACACAACAGATATCTTTCACTGAAGCATTTGATAGTGTATCTACTTCAAGAGTGTTTAAATACTTTTTAACACTGATGACAATTCCATAAAATTCTAAAAAGGAAGAATGAACACCATTCATTTCTATAAATTCTTCATAAGTTAAAAAATTCTTTTCCTCAATAACATTGTCTATTACCTGTATAATACCTTTATCATATCAATGCTTAAGTAAAACAGGTTTTCTGTTAATCTTAATATTAGGATTATGAAAAAGTGGTTCAGTCAAAAAGCTACTGAAAGATTCTGGATTCAATTTCTTGTCCAAATCCATGAATGATTGAAAACAACTTCTCCAAAACATATTATGAATTTTCGGGACTTTGTTCTCAAAATAACATGCACCAAATTCTCCAAGTTTCATTAATGCTGGGTTAGTAGATTCAAACAATTGTTTCCATTTAGGACATTCCATAAGAGTCAATTCCCTTAACCAAGTGGTTTTCAACGATTTCACATGGAAAAATATGTTAACCATACCCAAACCTCCTTGCTTAACTGGTTGTCAAACTTTCAACCTTTTTTAACCATATCGTTTTTGCCACTCCAGAGAAATTTAAAAAGCATGTCATCTAAAGCAACAAGAAAATCATGAGATGGGTCAGTCAATGATAGGAGGAGGTAGTTAAGTTTTGATACAAGTAAAGATTTTATTATTGCTATCCTTCTGATTGGTGTAACAATCCTTTTCATCCATCTATTCATTATATGTTAAGCGCTGACAATTTATATTTAAAATTTAATTCCACCATACTTTCATGGTTCAAGTTAAACTTAATCCCTAGAACATTAAATACATCAGGATTCCAGCAGATTGGGCGGTCTGCCATGAATTTTTCTGAACTACCTTTTCTGGAACCTAACCACACAACTTGAGTTTCATTATAATTAATTTTAAGACCAGATATCTCAGCAAAATGATCAAGAGTCACAAGACATGATTATAACGAAGATCTACTACCATCAAGCAACATTTCAGTGTCATCAGTGTACTGACTCAACAAATATTCTTTATCATCTATCAGGATCCCCTTAATGTTCTTATTTGAACGAATCCTATTTGCTAATACTTCAGCACAGAGGATAAAAATATACGGTGATAATGGGTCACCCTGTAGACAACCACAGTCAATGTTAAACCATGAAGATAATTGGCCATTAATGGACATGCAACTTTTTATATTCTTATAGAATGCAAATACATATTTTCTCAAATTCTCTCCAAACCCCCAAAAGGATAAGCATTTCTCAATGAAGGACACAGAATCGAAAGCTTTCCGAAGTCAATTAACAAAAGCATACCAGGAAGTTTATACTTGTCAGCACACAGGATTGCATCATAGATTAACCGTATATTGTCTCCAATATATCGGCCAGACATAAAACTAGTTTGATCGGCATATGATACATTGAGTAGTGAGATGGGTCTCCAATTTGTTAAAAACAGCTTTGGCTTATCTCCTTTTGGGATGCAGACAATAACTCCTTGTTTCTGAGTAACCGAAAGTTCTCCAGACATCAAACCATAATTCAGAGATCTCAACAAAAATTGTCCAATTTATAAAAAATTATAAAATTCTGCAGAAAAACCATTGGATCCAGGACTCTTGCCGTTAGGCATATTTTTAAAAGCTTTTGACAATTCTTCAAGCATCAATAACTTTTCATGTCTTCAACCTCATCACATTTAAATCTCGGAAGACTACTCCTATCCAGCAGAGAAAATAAGTCACAATCCTGTACTAAGTGTTCTCTACTGCAGTAGAGGCTCTCATAAAAGTGGCAGCCTCAGCAATAATATCTTTTGGATTTTCTAGTTGAGTGCCATCATTTAGTTCTAAGTGAGACATCGATTTGCTGACATAATTATTATTTTCAAGATTACATAAATATTTGCTAACTTTTTCACCCTCTGTAATCCATCTAGCTCTTGACCGTACAGCAATACCATCCATCTTTACTTTCCTTATGTCTTCTAACTCCTTTCTCTTTTCTTCAAGATCTTGAAAGTCAATATTAGAAAATCTTTCAATATCATCAATTTTGTCAATTAATTCTAGTTCTTTTCTAACTCTTTCTCTTTTCTTGTAAGAAGCATAAGACATAGATTTAACTCTTATTTCCATCAACAAGACCTCGAAAAATAACTGATCATTAATCGTATATTTAATTTCATTGTCATTGTTCATTGATGTGTTGTAATATACAATCACTTTCAGCATATTGAGCCTTAATCTTCTGAATGGTTTCATTAACCATGTTAGCATATTCTTTATCTTGCAATAAAGAAGAGTTAAATTTCCAGTATGTACTGAGTTTTTCTGCCTTTTTCAAAGAAACAAATAGATCAACCATGGAATGGTCAATCCTGCAACGAGCACTTATATTGGTTCGAGTGATATGAGGATATAGGCCTTCTGACACCAGAAAGAAATCAAGCCTGGCCTGCTTTAAAGAAGATTTTTCTCACCAAGTAAACCTTTTAGTTTCAGGAGTAA